TTCATACAAGAATTCCTCGGCTTCTCTGAATCAGTGTACTTCCTCATTTCTTACAGCCCAATAACATATCACTCCACGCATACACCATAATTTGTTCAGCACTTCCTCATTTCATCGCACTCCCTTAGTTTCTCGTTCTTTGCTATCACAGAAAGAACTGAGATATGTAAACATGCATACGTATGTAGAGAGATAGAGATGAGTTATCAGTATGCGTATGTGAGCTATATATATCCACATAGACATCTACTTCTGGTTTAAAATTTACTTATAAATATATGTATATAGATTTATCTTATTTTAATTTAATATTTTGTTTTTCCCCAATTACATGTAAAAACAAGTTTAACATTTTTTCAAATTTTAAGTTCCAAATTTTCTCCTTTCCTCCCCCCCATTGAGAAGGCAAGCAATTTGACATAGATTATACATGTGTAATCATGCAAAACACATTTCCATGCAAGTCATGCTGGGAAAGAAAACACAAACAAAAGAAAAAAGACAGGAAAAATAAAGAAGTCTGCGTTGAGGCTTCACCAGTTTTTTGTGGGGTTTTTTTGTTTGTTTTTTGGTGGTGATGGACAGTACCTTTTATCATAAGTCCTTCAGAATTGTCTTGGATCATTGTATTGCTTAGAATAGCTAAGTTATTCATAGTAGATTATCATACAATATTATTGTTATGGTATACAGTGTTCTGGTTCTGCGCATTTCACTTTGTCTCAGTTCATATAAGCTTTTCCAGGTTTTTCTGAGAGCATCCTGCTTATCATTTATTATCACACAATAGTATTCTATTACAGTCATATACAACTTGTTCAGCCATTCCCCAACTGATGGACTTCCCCTCAATTTCCAGTTCTTTGCGACAACTAAAAGAGCTGCTAAAAATGGTTTTTGTACACGTAAGTCCTTTTTGTTTTTTATCTCTTTGGGATACAAACCTAGTAGTGATATTATTTGGTCAAAGGGTGCACATGGTTTTATAACCCTTTGGGCATAGTTCTAAATTGCTCTGCAGAATGGTTGAATCAGTATGCAACTTTATAAACAGTGCATTAGTGTTTTAATTTTCTCACACTCCCTCCAGTATTTGTCATTTTCCTTTTGTGTCATATTAGCCATTTTGATAGCTATATGGTAGTAGCTCAGAGTTGTTTTAATTTGCATTTCTCTAATCAGTAGTGGTTGAGAGCATTTTTTATATGACTATAGATGGCTTTGATTGCTTTGTCTGAAAACTGCTTCTTCATACCCTTTGACCATTTATCAATTAAGGATGGCTTTTATTTCTATTAATTTGATTCTTTTTGTATATATATTTGAGAAATGAGTCTTAATCAGGGAAACTTACTGTAAAAATTTTTTTCACAATAATGATTACCAACTTGGTATTTCCCTCCATCCTATTTTCTCCCAGTTTCTCCTACTTTCACTATCCTTTTACCCTGTCCATTCTCAAAAGTGTTTTGCTTCTGGCTTTTACACTCCTCCCATCTGCCTCACCCCTTTTATCCCTTTCCCCTCCTACTTTCCTGTAAGGTAAGGCAGACTTCCACACCCAGCTGAGTGTGTATGTTATTCTCTCTGACCCAATTCTGATGAGAGTGAGGTTCATGTACCTCTCCCACACAGCTCCCCCATCTTCCCCTCAACTGTAAAAGTTCTTTCAGGCCTCTTTAATGTCAGATAATTTACCTGATTCTGCCTCTCCCTTTCCCCTTCTCGCAGTGCATTCCTGCTCACCCCTTAATTTTATTTTTTTAGATAATCATCCTGTCAAATTCAAGTCACACTGTGCCCTCTGTCTATGTGTTCTCCTTCTAACTGCCCTGAAAACGAGAAAGTTTTTAGGAGTTACAAAGTATCATTTTCCCAGGTAGGAATGCAAACAGTTTAACCTTATTGAATCCCTTATGCCTCTTTCCTGTTTATCTTTTTATGCTTCTTTTGAGTCTTGTATTTGAAAGTCAAGTTTTCAGGGGCAGCTAGGTAGCGTAGTGGATAGAGCACCAAACCTGGAATCAGGAGGACCCAAGTTCAATTCCAGCCTCAAACACTTTCCAGCTGTGTGACCCTGGGCAAGTCACTTAACCCCAATTGCCTCCAAAAAAAATTTTTTTAAAGTCAAATTTTCTATTCAGCTCTAATCTTTTCACCAGGAATGCTTGAATGACATCTATTTCATTAAGTATTCATTTTTCCCCCTAAAGGATTATACTCAGTTTTGCCAGGTAGATGATTCTTGGTTGTAATTCTAGCTCTTTTGGCCCTCCAGTATCTCATATTCCAAGCTTTCCAGTCCTTTAATGTAGAAACTGCTAAATCTTGTGTTATCCTGACTGTGGCTCGACAATATTTGAATTGTTTCTTGTTGATTGCTTGCAATACTTTCTCCTCGACCTGGCAGCTCTAGAATCTAACTATAGTATTCCTGGCAGTTTTCCTTTGGGGATCTCCTTCAGGAGGTGACTGGTAGAGTCTTTCCATTTCTATTTTGCCCTCTGGTTCTAGAATATCAGGGCAGTTTTCTTTGATAATTTCTTGAAAGATGATGTCTAGGCTCTTTTTTTGATCATGGCTTTCAGACAGTCCGATAATTTTTAAATCATCTCTCTGGATCTATTTTCCAAGTCAGTTGTTTTTCCATTGAGATATTTCACATTTTTCTTTTTTTTCCCATTCTTTGATTTTGTTTTATTATTTCTTGATGCTTATTGAGTCATTAGCCTCCACTTGCCCAATTCTAATTTTTAAGGAATTATTTTCTTCAGGGAGCTTTTGTACCTTCTTTTCCATTGGCAAATTCTGCTTTTTAGAGTTCTTTCCTGTAGTGGATTTTTTTCCATCTTTTTTCATTTGACCAATTTGGCTTTTTATTTTTTTTAGGCAATTGGGGTTAAGTGACTTGCCCAGAGTCACACAGCTAGTAAGTGTCAAGTGTTTGGTCTGAGGCTGGATTTGAATTCAGCTCAGGTTCTCCTGACTTCAGGGCCGGTACTCTATCCACTGCGCCACCTAGCTGCCCCCACAATTTGACTTTTTTAAGGAGTTCTCTTCAGTGAATTTTTGTATGTATTTTTCTGTTCGGCCAGTTCTGCTTTCAAGGCATTCTTCAGTAGATTTTTGTGCTCTTTCTATTTGGCTTAGTCCATTTTTTAAGGTGTTGTTTTCTTCAGTAATTTTTTATGCCTCTTTTACCAAGCTTATTGGCACCCTTTCCATTATTTTCTTCCATCACTCTCATTTTTCTTCCCAGTTTTTCCTCTATCTACCTTACTTTTTGGCCTCTTCCATGACCTGGGGCCAAATCATATTCTTCTTTGAGGCTTTGGGATGTAGGAGTTTTGACTTTTTTGTCTTTTTCTGAGTGTTTTGATCTTCCTTGTCACCTGAGGCTTTGGGATGTAGGAGTTTTGACTTTTTTGTCTTTTTTCTGAGTGTTTTGATCTTCCTTGTCACCATAATAACTTTCTATGGTCAGGATCTTTTTCTGCTGGGTTTTTTTTTTGTGCTTATTTTCCATCCTATTTCTTAACTTTTAACTCTGTGCTAAAGTGGAGCTCTGCTTTTGGAGTGGAGGGGGCATGATTCCAAGCTTCAGGTTTTTGGTGCCGCTGTTCTCAGAGGTAATTCTGGGGACCTGTTAGTTGTCAGTTCTTCCAAGGGGGTATGATCTAAGGGGAATGGGCATTTACTACTCTGCTGTGTTTTGCCACTGGTCTGTGAGTGACCACAACCCCTCTTTTTAAACCTAGAACTGTGACGAGGGTCCTGGCTCCTCTGTAGCCACAAGCTGTGCTGTGCTACTTCCTACTTGCCCTGGGACTGAGACCCAGGACTGACCCAGACCAAGTCCTGCCCCTGTGCCAGCAAAGGGAGCCCTGTAATCTCCTTCTGACCCCTTGTCCAACTCCTTACATCTGTGGGCTGAGAGCTCTGAAAACTGTCCCTGCCACTGATTCAGTCACCGCAAAGCCTGCTCCTGGTTTGCCAGGGCATGGTCTGCACTGGTATGGCCTGTGCTCCACTCTCACCCTGATGTAACAGACCTTTCCTGCTGACCTTCTGAGTTGTCTTGGGCTGGAAAATTGTTTCACTCTGACCTTTTGTGAGTTCTGCTCCTCTAGAACTTGTTTTGAGGCATTATTTTAAAGGTGTTTGGGGGATGGCTCAGGCGAGTCCCTGCCTTTTCTCTGCCATCTTAACTCTGCCTCCTGTTTCTTATTTTAGATGAACAGTGTGTGTGTGTGTGTGTGTGTGTGTGTGTCTGTACTTATAGGTCCTTTTCCTCTTTTTTTTAAATCTCATTCGAGGTATAAATCAAATAGTGGTATAAGTGGGTCAAAAACCCTGCACAGTGTTGGGCCCATGGTGCCAAGTTACTTTCCAGAATGGCTAAACCAGTTAACAGATCCACCAGTAGTGTAATAATATGCCTATTTTCCTGCAGCCTCTCCATTATTTGTCCTTTCAATTTTTTGTCAACTTGCCAGCCCAATAGGTATAAGTTTGAACCTTAGAGTTCCTTTGATTGAGATTTCTCCGTGATTTGAAACATTTTTTATGTGGCTTTTGATAATTTGGATTCCTTCTTTGAAAACCGGCCATATCCTTTTACTGTTTGGCACTTGGGGACCTTCCTGAGATTTAGCAGCAATAGTTTTCATTTTTTTCATTTTATTTTCGTTGTTTAACAGAGTCTGGTGTATAATAAGCACTTAACAGATGCCTATTGATTGGTCAAATAAGAGGTTTGTAAAGTGTTTAGCGAGTGCCTGGCACACATTGGCACTTAATAAATGCTTTTTCAATCCCCTCTCTGCATATGCTTCAGAATTGAGTACATTTCAGCTGTCTAGCAGTTACTCCAATCATTATCATGGAGCCCAGCCGAGCCTGCAGTCTCTTGGGAAGTTCTCCCTAAGTTCCTAAACACTTCGCTGATCCTTTCAGGTCTTTATGAGGGATGATGCCTGAATAAGGTACTTTCTGTTTCAGGGTCATTGACATTCAGGGATGTTGCTGTGAAATTCACCCAGAAAGAATGGCGGCACTTGGCACCTTTCCAGAAGGAGCTGTACAGAGACGTGATGCTGGAGAACTACAGGAACCTGGTCTGCCTCGGTAAGGACGGGCACCGGCGGTGATTCAGAATCTGCTTATTAGGTGAGAGCAGTCTTCATTAGTGACAGCTGGGGCTTGTTTGGACCGAATGCAGAGACCAGAGATGATTAACCCATTGGTGCTCTAGAGATAGGCTACGTGGAACATGCTTTGCTTTATACAACTAGAAACTGGCAGCTGAATTGTGTTGCCCCTGAGATTATGCTTTCTTCCTCTTTGTACTCTGAAGTCCAGGATCAGACAATTGATGACATAAATGGTTCCCCTCTCATAACTGGGAATGAATTTATTTTTCTGACACCAAATCTATGTGACCCATTCCCCTATACTTAGCATGCTTCCGAGGTCATTTGTAGCACTGTCCTGAGCTTCACCTGCTTTTCCTCCAAAGAGAAGGAATAAGATTAAATTCTGGAATGGTTCTGTGTCCCCAGTAATTTCCCTTTTCCAATGACTAGGACTTACAGTTTCCAAGCCAGATGTTATCTCCCAGTTGGAGCGAAGGGAGGCACCCTGGACGCCAGGAGGAATCCAGAGAAGTAGCTGTCCAGGTGAGTGGGTCCTTGTAAACTACAGTTCCCTTGGTCAGTCTAGGAAAGCGCTAGTAAAACTCTGAACATGGATGTCTCCTGTTGACTGCCCAGGCCTCGGGAGAAGAGCTGAGCTTGCATGGCACTAGCTTCCTCCTGGACATTCACAACCCAGTGTCCTGACATCTCTCCCCTCCTCGCGTCCCTCCAGGGTCAGAGAAGAGGAGGCCTCAGCAGGGGATGGGACTTTCTCTTCTTCCCTGCTGCCCCTTTCCTGATGCTCCGCTGTTTTCACTGCCCATGTAGACGGGGGCCTCACTGGAAGGAGGTCATGTGTGTGGTTTCTTTCTTTGATGGGCTGCCATGGCCAACTGGTTCATGACCCATGGTGACCATCCTCTCGATGCTCAGCTGGGCTTACCCCAGGTCTCCCACTGCACCTGCCCTCCCTGGAGGATGGCTGTAATCGTTGGGAAGTTTTGTGTAACGTCAGCCTGGATTTGCTCTTTCCAGCGTCTACCTATTGCTCCCAGTTCTGCCCGTGGGGCCCAACAGAACAAGTTGAGTTCATCTCTCCAGTGCATCAGCCTTCCACAAACCGGACAATGTGGTGTCGTCCTTGCCACAGATCTTCTTTTCCCACTAGACACCCCCAGTTGCTTCATTGAGTTGTTTCATGGCAGGAACTTAAAGCCCCCCAACCTTCTGGTTTCCCACCTCTGGATGCTTCTTTACTGAGATGCCCAGAAATGAACCTGCACACAAACATCTTCTGTGTAGCAGAAGATAACTGCAAAATGATCTGGGGCTGTTAGTGGACTGCAAGCTGAGATGAGTCAGCAGTGGGCTGTGGTGGCCTTAAGGGAAGCACTAAGAGTCTAGAAGGGGGAGGGCGAGGATGTCCTTGTGCCCAGCCTGGAGTGTTGGCTTCCACAGGCAGTGTTCAGAGTCCAGGTCACTGCCCTCCACTTGGCAGCATCCATTCACTGCCTTCTTTGTTTTTTAATTGTGACGTTTATCCTTTTCCAGCCTAGTGATGTCTCTCCCATTCAGCCTGATAGTCCCGAGGTCACTGGCAGTGGCTCAGTAATCACACCTGCCAGCTCTTTCAGTGGGATAGAGTACACCTGGGCCAGGTGACTTGCACTCCTGGAGGCAGCAGGGGCTCTCTTAAGATCTCAGTGCTTATCTTAAGTGCCACTTCCTCCAAGTCCCTTTTGTTCAGTCCTTTCCAGCCCCAAGGTCCTTCTTCTTGGCCAGGAAACTGAAGAACAGCTGCTTTATCTTCTTCCTGCCTCCTTTTGGATAGATCTTCTTTTCCCTGAGCTAGCTTTAAAGCAGCTGCCTTTTTGTTATTCCATAGCTGGCCTCTGCGGCCCCAGGACAAAGTCAGGGACAGTCTGACGTCTCCATTGTAAACTCTTAAAAGGAGCATTCTCTTCTTCCTGATGTTCCCGCTTTTTCTGCCCCAACACTTAGTTCTGCCTTGTTAGTGAAAATCAGTTCTAGAGTAGTATTTCCCTTGGCTAGTACGCTCCACGTTTCAAAGCATAAAAGTATCAAAGAAAGTTAAGCCATCATTAGCACCTCCATTTTAGTTAGAGAGAACTCCAGCAGATGCCCAGATACTGAAATCCTCTTATCATTACTGTATTGGGCCCCTGCCAGGCTTCTGATCTGTTTCTTTTTTTTTTTTAACAACATATAATTTTTATCTTTAGATTATTCCAAATGGGCCCCTGCCAGGCTTCTGATCTGTTTCTTTTTTTTTTAACAACATATAATTTTTATCTTTAGATTATTCCAAATTTAACAAACAGCAACAAACACGAGTATTTCAGAATTCAAAGAAAAGCATAAAGCATTGCATCAAATCTCCATTGTGTATAGCTTGTGTTTTGCATCACAATTGAAGAATAAGTTCAGTATACTAATTTGAAAGCTGTCCTGTTTATCTTTGCCTTCTTCTGAATCTCTCTGTGCTCACTTCTGTTTTCGAAAGTTGCCAGGACCCTTTTTTCTTTACTCCCTTCTCTTTTTGGCTTCCCTTGCTAGTGTCCTTTCCCCACCCCTCCTCTGAAATTCTTCCTCAATTGAAAACAAACACGTACCAAGCAAGCAGAGTGAAGTAAAATACGCCCATTTGTTGGTCATGTCTGGAAACGGAGGTCTCAGTTTGCACTTCAGTTCCTCGCCTTCCTCTCGAGCATTATTTAGCCTGCTTCTTCATTGGTTTTCATATCACTTAAGTTTTCCTAGGTGCCTCTGAATGCACCCTTTCTCTTAAGTTTTCCTAGGTGCCTCTGAATGCACCCTTTCTCGTCTTTTCTTATGATGTAACAATGTACTGTATGTAACAATGTAATGATATACTCTAATTTGTCCAGCCATTCCTCAATTGATGGGCGCCAACCTTATTTCTAGATCTTTCCTATAACAAAAAGTATTTCTGTCAATATTTTTCTATAAATAAGTCCTTTCCCTTTGATTTTTTTTTGAGGTGTATGTTTAGTGGTTTCTCTTGGGCAGAGGCTGTGCCAGATTTTGTGACACTTTGGGCGTGGTTCCATTGCTTTCCATCATGGCGGCAGCACTCCATTCCCGAAGCCCTTTTATCAGTTGTCATCCCCCTTTCTGCCGTTCTCAGTAAGAGGCAGACCCTCAGAGTTGCTATGATTCCAATTTCTCTGGTTATTTGGGATGTTGAGCATTTGTGTATATGTCTGTTAATAGCTTGGATTGTTTTTCCTTTGAGAAAAAACAACCTTCAACCATTTATCTAATGAAGTGTAGCTCTTGTTCTTATGAACGGACTAGTTTTCTTATATGTGTCAGATATAAGACTTGGTTTATTGGAGAAACTAGCTGCAAAGGTTTTTTTCCCTCTAGTTAATTGTTTCCCCTCATAGTTAATAACACTGATTCTGTTTTTGCAAAGACATTTCAATTTATGTCATCACAGTTGTGCATTTTCTCTTTTGTATTCTCTGCATCCGTGTTTTCTTCCTTACTCCTTTAATGTGTTTATAATGTGGTCTTTCATGGCTAGGTCCCATCTCCATTCGGGGCTTCTTGTGGTGTTGTGGGAGATCTTGAGCTAACCCTGATTTCTGGCAGACTCCTTTCAGGAGTTTCTTCTATGACACAAATCCAGGCCTATCTACAGCTGCCCTTCTGTGCCACTGCTGTCCATGTTCACCACAGAGCGCCTTCCCAACACGGTGGGGGCCTTCCTTGCTTTTTCCTGATATCACAAGGTGACCGTCAGAGCCGTCTTGCTGTCCGTTTGTCTGCCTTGCCACGTAAGCTGTACATCTGTCATATAATTCCTGGACCAAGACTCACCAGAGTTCCTTGTTGCTTCTGTGTTATGTAGCCTGATCACACCCACCCTGGGCCCCTCCGTTGCCCTCAGTGGTATCTGCCTTTGCTTCTTCAGAAGCAATGGTACAACCACATCTCATTGCCACTTAACAATGCTAGGAAATGAGTGGTATTGAAAAAATGTGGCTTTGCTTTCATGAGAAGCTTGGGGCCTGTAAATGCTTTGCATTTTCCTCAAAGCAATCTAGCTTGCTCGCCTTTTCAACTCAGTGCCAAGCTCATTGTGTCTTTACTGTCTATCCCCAATATAGATACTGTTCAGCAAACTCTATAGGACAGGTTCGAAGTATGCACTGAAATCTGGGCAATAGACATTGTTTACCCTCGTGATCTTTTTTCAGTAGATGAACAGGCCAAACTCTTTTGAGAGTTTATAAATTTCTTCAGGAACACTCTGCAGGAGGCTTTGATGTAATGTGCAAATGATATATCTGGAGGATACTAAATAACTACAGAAATCTTTAAAATGTCTGGGAGTGAACATGTATAGGACTCACATAATTAAGAATGCAAAACGATTTTGATTGAAATGAAGGAAGACCTAAATAATTAGAGACAGGTAAAATATTTTTAAAATATTAATCAATTTGAATATTTATCTTAATTAAATTTATTATTTTTATATTAATTATATGAATATAATATAAATAAAATTAATAAAATTAAATATTTAAAAATTTTAATATTAAATAAAATATTTATGGGCGAGATAGGCCAACGCAATAAAAATGACAGTACTTCCTAAATTAATCTACATATTTGATATTGTACCAATTTAGTCATAAAGGGGAATATTCTATAGATTGACATAACAGTAACCAAATTCATAGAGTAACAAGGTGGAGACTATCAGGGGAAATAGTGAATGAACATTTTAGTGACAGGGATGTAGCATTATAAGACCTCAGTTAAATTGTAAAGTAATAATTATCAAAAATACCTAGTACCGATTAACAGATAGAAAAGTCAGTAAATGGAAGGAACTAATTAGTAATATCCAGGACCCTAATGTCTGATAGACATCAAAACATAAACTCCTAACTGAGGGACTACTTATTTAAACAAGAACTTCTGAGAAAAGTATAAAGCAGTTTGATAGAAACAGATGTATTAAATCATTTTTCTTTATGGAGGATCCAAAAGGCAGGAAGATGTATGTGGACAACAGGAATAACAAAGAGGACATTCATGTTTTGGTTTTTTTTTTATTTCATCCAGATTGGGAGGCTGCTCATGAAGCCAAGGAGTCAGCTCTAAAGCTGCACATGTCAGTAGAAGAATCATCCTTTCGATGTGATGCCACATTAAAGAGGCACCACAACAGTGAGGAAGGAAAAATGACCCAAAAGAAACTTGCAAATAAATTGAGAGGCTGCAAATATAACAACTACAATGGTAGCTTCAGTCTAGGGCACATCCCTTTTGCACAACACACATCATCTGTTGGAATGATTCTCCATAAATGTGATAAAAACAGGAAGCACTTCAGACTGTCTACAGACTTAAGAAGACATAAGAGAATACAGTCAAAGAAGATATTTTCCAAGTATAGTGAATATGTGAAATTCTTTAAGTATAACTCATACTGTATTGAAAATGGTAGGCTACGTAATGGAGAGAAATGCTATCAGTGTAATGAATGTGGGAAGGCCTTCAGCCAGAAAGCCAGTCTTAGTCAACATCATAGAATTCATACTGGAGAGAAGCCATATGAATGTAATGTGTGTGGGAAGGCCTTCCGCCAGAGCACAGGACTTAAGCAACACCAGACAGTTCATACCGGAGAGAAACGTTATGAATGTAATCAATGTGGGAAGGCCTTCCGTCTGAGAACGCAGCTGATTCAACATTATAGAATTCATACTGGAGAGAGACCCTATGAATGTAATGACTGTGGGAAGGCTTTCCGCCAGAGTGCACAGCTTACTCAGCACCAAACAATTCATACTGGAGAGAAACCTTATGAATGTGCTGAATGTGGGAAGGCCTTCCGCCTGAGAACATTGCTTATTCAACATCATAAAATTCATATTGGAAAGAAACCTTATAGATGCAACGAGTGTGGGAAGGCCTTCCGCCTCAGTTCACAGCTTATTCAACATCAGACAATTCATACCGGAAAGAAACCTTATGGATGTACTCTGTGTGGAAAGGCTTTTCATCAGAGAGCCTTACTTATGCAACATCAGACAGTTCACAGTGGGGAAAAGCCTTATGAATGTAACGAATGTGGGAAGGCCTTCCGAAATAGCACATGCCTTAGTCAACACCAGACAATCCATACTGGAGAAAAACCTTATCAATGTCATGAGTGTGGGAAGGCCTTCCGACTGAGCGCATATCTCATACGGCATCAGAGAATTCATACTGGAGAGAAACCTTTTACATGTAATGACTGCGGAAAGGCCTTTACCCACAATGCAGGACTTTCATTGCATAAAAGAATTCATGCTGGAGAGAAACCGTATGAATGTGATGAATGTGGTAAGGCCTTCAGACGAAGATCGGGGGTTGTTGAACATAAGATAATTCATACTGGAGAGAAAATTTATAGCTGTAATGAATGTGGCAAGGCTTTCGCTGGAGAACCGGACTTATCCAACATCAGAGAATTCATACTGGAGAGAAACCTTATAAATGTGACGTATGTGGGAAGGCCTATCGCTTAAGCAAAGGACTTACTCAACATCAGAAAATTCACACTGGAGAAAAACAATATGGCTGTACTGATTGTGGGAGTGCCTTCCGCCTGAAAAGACAACTTAGTCAACATCAAAAGCTTCATAGTGGCGAAAAGCGTTATGAGTGTGATCAGTGTGGATGGTCTTCTGCCAGAGTAGAACCCTTATTCAACATCACAGAATTCATAGTGGAGAAAAACCTTATGAGTGTCGTGAATGTGGAAAAGCCTTTCGCTTGAAGACACGTCTTAATGAACATCAGACAGTTCATACTGGTGAAAAACGCTTTGAATGTAGTGAGTGTGGGAAGGCCTTCCGGCAGAAGACACATCTTACAGAACATCTGTCAATTCACAGTGGTGAGAAACCCTTTGAGTGTAATGAATGTGGGAAGGCCTTCCGCTTGAGAACACAGCTTACTCAACATCACATAATTCATACTGGGGAGAAACCATATGAATGTAATATATGTGGGAAGGCGTTTAGTCACAGGACAGAACGTAACCGACATTATAGGATTCATACTGGAGAGAAACGTTATGAATGTAATGAATGTGGGAGGGCTTTCCGCTTGAGCACACACCTTACTCGGCATAAGAGAATTCATACTGGTGAGAAACCCTATGAGTGTAATGAATGTGAGATGGCCTTCCGCCTGAGGGCCCAGCTTACTCATCATCAGAGAATTCATACTGGAGAGAACCTTTAGGAGAGTTATCACTGAGGAAAGGGTGTTCTGCAGAACCAACACCTTTCTCACATCATTTAATACTGAATAGGGAAAATTGTCTATGTAACAAACATGGAAAGCCTTGAGACACAGCACAGAATTTAGGAAATATCAAGCAATTCATACTGAAAAGCCATACGCATATAATGAATGTGAGGTTATAGCTAGAGTACTAACTTTTGCTGGAAATTAAAGAACTCAATTTAAAGAGAAACCCCACAGTTGAAGCAGATACCTATCTACTTCATTTTATTAGCAGGTTTCCTAAAGCTTTTTCTTCCTGCCTAGAGTTTCATTTCACCTTCCTTACAAATCCCAGTGCTTACTGCAGTTGACTTAGATGCTTAATAAATTTAAATTATCTAATCTTAGCTTCATTCATACTTCAGCAAATGTGGATTCTAACTGAATTTTTTTCTCTTTCTCCTCTTTCCTCTCCCTAACTTCAGCTTATCTATTGGCCTCTTTCTTGCTGTCTACAAACATTCTCAAATCTCCTGCATCCTTGAAAAGCTTCACTAGATGTCTTGTCCCTGATAGCTGTTCCCCTGTATCTCTCCTCCCTTTGGCAGCTACAACCTGCTCAAAAAAGCTCAAAAGACCTTGACTGCCTCCATTTCTTCTCTCACTCCTCAGTCTCTTTCACTGTTGCTTCCAACCTTCTCAGTCAACTGATAGGCGTGGCTGACTCTAAGATCACTAGTGATCCCTCAGTTGTTACCTTGGCCTTTCCTCATCCTCAGAGTTCTTGAACTTCCTGCAGCATTGAATTCCATTGACCACCGACTGCTGATGGAGTCTTTCTACTCCCTGGGTCTTTGTGACATTGCATTCTCCTGGTTCTCCTACCTATCTGGCTGCTGCACCTTGGTCTCATTTTCCGGATCCTCATCCATATCCCACCCCTATTTTTATGAGCGTATACCAGAAATCTGTCCTAGACTGCCATCTATCTACACTCTCAGATTTCTTCATCTCTTGCATATTGAACTAATAAATCAATGCATATGACTTCTAGATATCTCTTGAAGTCCAGTACCATATCTTTAATCACATAACTATACATTTCTTATTGGGTTCCCTGTAGAACATGTCCATAACAAAATGTCATTACCTTCCCCCTAAAACTCCTCTTCCTAAGCTCCCTATTTCCATTGAGAGGGTCACCATGCTTTGTTGTTATTCAGTTGTGTCCAACTCTTCATGGCCCCATTTTGGGTTTTCTTGGCAAAAATACTGGAGTGGTTTGCCATTTCCTTCTCCAGCTCATTTTACAGATGAGGAAACTGAGGCCAGCGGGGTTAAGTGACTTGCTTAGGGTCACACAGCCAGTAAGGGTCTAAGGCCAGATTTGAACTCATGAGGATAAGCTTCCCCAATTCTGGGCCCCTTGTTCTAGCCACTGTACCACCCAGCTGCCTCGTAGATCACCATTCTTGGAGTGACTCAAATTCACAACCTCAGGGTCATCCTAGACTTGCCCTCTAGCCCTACAATTTTGGCTTTTCTAGCTCCACAGCATCTTTCCAATCCCTTTTCTTCTCTGAACTCATACCTAGTTGAGATCATTGTCCCCACTCTCATGAAGGCTTGGTGCAGTCTCTTCATTGATGTCCCGGCATCCTCCACACAGCTGCCATGGCCCCAGAGCATGGGACTGCCATTGTCACATCCCTGTCGAGATGCTCTGATGGCTCCCTTTTGCTTCCAGTTTCAAATACAGACTTCTTTGTCGACATCCTTTCAGGCTTCTGTCACCTCACTTTCCTTTTGTGTGCTCCACTTTTTAGTCAGACAGGCCTTCTTGGTGATCCTCATACATGACATTTCACCTCCCATCTTGTGGCTTGCATCAGCTTTCTCTGCTCTGCAGTGCCAGGCCTGTCTCCTTATTTCTACCTCATGAGATCCTTCCTTTTCTTCAAGTTTTGGCTCAAAAACTACCTCTTGTATTATTTGGTATTTAGATTGTGGTTTTTTTTTCTTTTTGCTTGTCTCTGTGTATTGTTTCTGCTCAGTAGAACATAAGCTCCTTCAAGGCAGGACTGGTTTGATTTTGATCATTTTATTTCCAGTTTAGAATTAGTCCCTGGCATATGGTAGGTTCTTAATGCTTGAATGAATGAATAAAGATGAAACAGCGGCATACATTTGCTCCCTCCACTACTGTAACTAAAATTAGTTAAAATTGTTGACCGGTTTTTCTGCCTTCTGGTTGCAGAAATATCCTTATTCCTTGCTGAAGCTACTTCATTTTCCTGCAGTCTTGATCCCATCCCCTCCTCCATCTTCACTTTCCCTCTCAAATGGCCCTTTCCCTGCTGCTTGTGTTTGCCATTTTGTTAGGCAAACATTTTCAAGCCCTCTGTGTGTGAAAGGCATTGAGCTGTGTGCTGAGGATGTGGCATTCACTGTGATAGACCCTGTGGGGTCCAGCCCTCCCTGCCTCCTCACTCCCAACAGAAACTAAACCAGATCAGGGCAGGGACTCTCGGTTTCGTTTGGTTGGATTTGGTTGGATTTTTGTCCCTAGTTCTCAGCATATGGTGTGTTGTGCCACATAGGTTCTTGGTAAATTTTTGTCAAAGACAAAGAAAAACAACACTGAAGAACTTCCCCTGCTCCCTGGGAGCGCACTTCACTGAGAGAGAGGACATATAAGCAGATACAGAAATTCAAGATCATTTGAAGAAGAAAGTACTCATAATCATGCACAAGATGGCACCCAAGGTGAGACTTGAAAGGAGCTGATGATTCCAAGAGGTAAAGGGGAAGGAGGGAGTACATTCCAGGCACTGGGAGCAGCAGGTTCAGTGATACGGATGAAAGATGAACTGGGCATACAAATAGGAAAAAGATAGGTCCTTCCCTCAAGGAACTTGCAGTCTAATGGGGGGAGACAGAACACAAAAGGAATCCGAAAAGGGGTGGGGGGGTATTGGCTCAGGGACCCGATGGAGAAGTCCAAAAGAAGGGGCAGTCAGCCGGGAAGTGAGATGGCTGGTTTGGAATTCGTGACTCTGCCCTCCACTCCGAGGGGCAGAGGGTAAAGATGAGGTGTCACTTCCAAGGCTGGTTGAATCTTACGGGATGATGAGATTCCTGGGGTCTGGGAGAAGTCTGCAAGAAGCATTCAGATGTGTTTTGTCCTAGGGCCAGTGAGGAATCACTGAGTAGTTTCAAGTAGGGGGATCAACCCTGTTATTTGGAAAGGTGGCTTTGGCATGTCCTGTTGTTTTTCAGCCATGTCCAACCCTTTGCGACCCTTTTTGGGTTTGGTTTGGTTTTTTTGCAAAGATACTGGATCAGTTTGCCTTTTCCTTCTCCAGCTCACTTTACAGATGAGGAAACTGAGGCAAACAGGATTAAGTGACTTTTCCAGGATCACACAGTAAATGTCTGAGGCTGTATTTGAACTCAGCCCTTCCTCACTCCAGGCCCGGCGTGCTTTCTCCTGTGCCACCTACCTGGTATCTCTATAGAGAATAAATTTGAGAAGGGAGAAATTGGAAGCTATTGAAGTAGTCTGGGGGGAAGGTAACGGGGCTTACATTAGGGTCATGGACATGTGAGTGGAGAGAAGAGGACAGAGGCCAGAGAGGTTGCTGGAGTGAAATAAGCCCAGCCTGGTGAGCCAACGTGGCTGCCAACCTGGCTCTGCCCCTTAGGACCTGTGGGGCCTGGGACAAGCCAACCCTAACCTCCTTGGGCCAGTGTCCTAATGAGGAAGATCAGAGATGTGGACTAGGTGACCTCTCAGGACTGTTTGCTTCTAAATCTGTGACCATTTTGTGGGGGAAGAAAAATAACAAGCTTACTCTGCATCTGAGTCTGTCAGAGACACCGATTTGTGATGTCAGCAACTTCAGGGGGACACAAGACCTTGGGATTCTTTTGGCAGCCGTGTGAGCTCTGCCTAAAGCAATTCCCAATGGACGTTTTATTAAAATAAATTTGTACTGATGCCTGTTTTTATATCATAGTTTTCCCAGTATCTCTTCCCCTCCCAGAGAACTACCCTATATGATAAATGGCTTGTTTTGTTTTTTTAAAGAAAAAAGGGGAAACTGGGCACAACTGATTAATACATTGAAAAAGTCTGAAAGCATAAGCCATGTTTCACACTGCGGACCTCCCACTTCTGAAATGGGTGGATCGGGGCATCTTCTCATTTCCCTTCACTGAAGCCATGCTTGCCAATTAATATTTTTAATGGCAATGTAATACAGCTTGGTGTTTCTTGAACACCAAGGTCCCATAGCAGTGCTCTCTCCTCGCTGCTGTGTTGATGCCTGTCAATCCTTTGTCGGTTTGGGGGGGTTCTTCAGAGCTGGTATCATGGCTAGTGGGTAGCGTAATGCCATTCTAGTTGTTCTTTCAGCCTCTCACACTAATGGATGCACACATTTTGGATATTTGCCTTCTCTCTAGCTTCTGAGGCTCTGAAACACAAAATCAGTAAGATAACAGCTAGCACTTCTAGAGCACTTTACAATTATTAACTCATTTGATCCTCACAATGACTGTACAAGGTAGGTACCATGATTATTCCTGTTGAGGAAACGGAGCCAAATCAGGGTTAAGTGACTTGCCCAGGGTCACACAGCTAGTAGCTGTCTGAGGCATTTTGAACTCAGGTCCTTCTGACTCCAGATCTGGCAAGCTCTCCACTGAGCCGCCTACCTGCCTATGGGGAATAAGAATGGTAACTGACCAGACATCAGCCAGTGTTGCGTAAAACCTCTGGCATCATTCTCAGGGCATAGTATGATGTGCCACCAATAACACATGTTGACTGTCCTGAAGTTTTTTGTTCAGTTTTCAGTGTTCCTAATGTGTTCATTGTGCCACTGGGGATGACAAAGTGTAGTGCTAGATTTTGTTACCTGTCAAAGCTTCGGTGGTGCATGAATTCTTTGTGGCAGCAGTGGTCACACTTCTGTGATCTTGGCCAACGGAACTCTATTGATCTGGTTTTCTAGCCTTTTAGAGAGTTCTCAGTTGAATTTCATGCCATACATATTTATTGCTCTTTGGTTGTGTTTTTAATTCTGTGGTTTTTAAGAATGGATATTACTTCAAGGAAATGGGCAAAATTTGTAGCTCTTAAAGAAGATGCTTCAGATACGGCAGAGGGCATTTGGGGAATTTGAAACATTTCAGGCCTCATTCGAGCTCACAGTGAATAGGATCTATCCCATTGAAGCTCATGAATCCATAGGAAACAGTGAGCTGGCAGCCAGAGGGACTCTGACTGATTCCTCTAAAGGATGGCTTCTTCATGATGCAAGAACAGCAGAAAGGTTAGCAAACATATTTTTTAAGAAACCCCTGCAAACTATGATTTATGAGACATTTCAAAGACTGGAAAACTGAAGATTTCAAGAAGGTGACTTTTACAGAGTAAACTCAGCTCACATTTTTATTCAAAGCTTTGTCATAAGAAGTCTGGATGACTCTGTCAGATCTGGGTATCTTCATCAGACTATAAAACATCTACCTAAAAACATCTTTGGGAATTTTTTTTTCACTCTCAGTGGACCTGGAAGTCTTGTCCAAATGAAAGGAATGATGAATGCTGATGAATCTATTGCTGTCCTGAAAAGCAGAGTTAGTATGGAATTTCTGAAATTCCTAAATGCAAAAGGAATATTGCCACCTAGCCTTGCATCATAGCACAGCTCTCAGAAGGTTCAAACATCCATCCAAGAGATGAAGGTGAGCATGCTTCAGTGGTTCGGGGAAGCCTATAGGCTGTAATCAACACATTCATCAAAAGTACACTTAAGATACAATAGGATGAAAAAAAAATGGTTTCCTGATGAAGACCTAAAGAATGTTTTGAAGTCTCATAAACTAGGTGTGAAAATGCTTAAAAACAAGTAATTGTAGCAAAATGGCATTGCATATTAAGAGGTTCTTTAAGATGTAAAAAAATTGTAAAGGTTTATAGTAGATATGTCAGTAAACTTATTTGTCTTACTTTGTCCTGAGTAATTTGCACACTCTTGTAACATTACCTTGAATATAACTTGTTCCCAGAGATAGAAATGGATGATTTGGCAACTAACTGGATTTCTGGGGTGTTCAAGAATGAGGTGAGTTGAGTTTGCCACCAAGGTTGTGAACTTGGGTGACTGAAAGAATGGTGGCCAGAGACCAGGACACCTCTGCTGATTATCTCAGATCCATCCTGTACGTCCTTTGTCTACACATAGTTGTTTGCATGTTGTTTCCCTCTTT